ACTGAGTGTGAGACCATTCACACATAAGTGTATCAATATTTTTTTCCAAAATTAATTCAAATACATTTTTTTTATTTTCCGAATTCCGAATTTTTATTTTACCGTTAAGCACTGCTGGCAACTACTGTAGATTCACACTCCATGCACACTGAGGTTTACAGAACATACTGTAAATGAGTCACTGACTGACCATTTTGAAACATGGTTGAAGCTTAGTTGGAGCATACTGTATGACCCCTACTGATGTGCAGCGACAGGGTGGTGCAGGGCACAGCTCAGCCTCTCGGGGATTGAGTGCAGCCTTGTCTGAACTTAAACCGGGATCGATCGATCCAGACTTCACAAAAAAAGAAAACAAAACGCTGTCTCCCGCCTCTGTCACTTAATCTCCTCTGGACAGTCTGGCAGATGTGAAAAAGGGTAATTGAATACAGCCAAGCAGAGAAACCATCTCTTCAGGCTTTGCAGTGATGAGTCCAGAAGAGACTCTGAAGTACAGTACAATGTTCTGTTCATCCAACAGAAAAATATCTTTCCTAAGCTTAACAGATGGGGACTCTTTTAAAAGAATAATTGAGATTTTCCCCTTCATCTTCCATAGTAAATTTAATATGCTTTGATTTGCTGTACAAAGTATGCAGGATCTGTTCAAATTAACCGTTTGTCATGTGTTGAACAGGAGGTCAGAGCCAGAATTAAGTCTCCTTTCACTGCTGGAGGCTTATTAGTTTTTTCTTTCTTTAACCACATTGCTAATATTCCTAAGGAAGAAATAAAAGTTTATTTCCCCTTAGATCACTGTAGAGAAATGAAGAGAGCCAGTTTGTGTAGCTTGTGCGTTTGCCACCTCTGAAGAAAAAGCGAATAAATTCTGATGCCAAGAGGGTATAACAGCAACAGACAATGCAGAGGGGTAGGCTCAGAGAGGCAATCTTAATCCCAGTTAATAATAACATTAATCATCGGCATATGGACGTTTTTCTCAGGGATATTTGTTCTATTTTTAACTTAAAATTATGTATATGTAATAGCTGACAAAAAACTAATAATGGTTTGTACCTCAGAACTCCAAATACTATTGCGTTTTGTGAATTCACTTCAGTTTCCTTTATCCCCAGAACACTTTGTGGAAGAGCTACATATTTCCTGTTTTTACTTTCACTGTGCAGTATGTTAATATTTTTAGTAAAATGTTCGAGTCCAAACTCCAGTCCGAAGGCGCCGCTGTCTGGAATTGAATCCAGGACATGAGCTGTGAGGAGACAGCACTGACTGCTGCTGGCCTCCTGTTTGTATTGCTTTTTAATATGTTTGCTGTGACTGTATGTTTTGTAGCTGTAATCCTATATCAACATTACTGGTTTTTTTCAGCTGTCGTAGAGTAACTCTTTTGAAAGTTGTTTTCCATTTTGCAGGGTTGCTTCAGTATCTGAAAATTGCTGTTTTCTGTAGATCCTTAGCAGTGAGGGAAATGGATAGATTAGATACTTTATTGATCCCGTGAGTGAAATTGCGGTGCTTGTTGTTTTGCGAGTGTGCATGTGTGTTTTTATATTCGTGGGAGAGATGCTTCTGAAGAGTTTCTAATTTTGGGATTGTTTTCAGATCCAAGGGACTTGCGTTGTTAGAAGGCAGGTTGCAGAGTGCCATGGATGAAACTAGAGGTGTGAAAAAAGGCAACTGAAATCAAAAATGAGAAAATCAGAACGTGAGGCTGCAGCAGGTTACACTTTTCAGTGAGTTGGAATCATTATAATGGTTCATTCTCAGGAAGATATTAGTCATGCAAAATAGCAATTTCTATGTATGTTTTTAGAAGATGTACTTTTATGTGTTATATTAACAGTTTTTTAACTAGCACTAACTCTGCCATCTGTTGCTCCAGACCTCTTAACTGACAGAATCTGAGAGTTTAAGATCATTAAACGTTATTGTAACCATTCACACTTCGGTTTGAGTTTTACTTCTTTTAGAAGTGAATGTAATGGGTTTACAAACACTTTAGGGAAATTGTTAAAAATTCATTGATCTTTCCTGACTGTGCCATTAAAATTAATTTTGTAGCCTTAGGCTTTTAAAGCACGAGCCAGCAGCAAAGTGAGCACTGTGGCCTTTCATGTTTGAAATTAATGCAGGGATGCAGGGATATCACCAGAAATTAAAACGCATTAATATGTGAGATAATTATTGTTTACTCAACAGGTGTTGTTACTTAAGTATCATAGGGCAACTTTGAACTGAGATGAGACTCATCTGAAATTGTTATTATTTTTTTTAATTTTGTACTAATTTTGAGACCATTTCATAAACCAAAGTACTGTACATGCTCAGAGGCACCCCAGTAATATTTTCATGTTGATTCACCAACATCATTCAGACAATTGGAGCCTTCATCGGTGCTCATTGTTTTATACACCTTGCTCAAGCAAGTAAGCTGGAGTCTTGATCGCATCTAGGATTACTGCTCTTTTTCCTGCTGGCGGAAATGTCACCTTGTTGGCCTGCTCCCCTATTGTCTCAAGAGAATGTGCTGTTGGGCTCCAGTCATTAACACTTCACCCTGATCACACACACTCTTAGCCAAGAGACGTTGAAGAGCTCTTCAGACTGACCGTGGGGAGGGGAAGACCAGGTTGTGTTGAAGGGCTTGTGGTTCGCCCTCCTCACATGACCTCTCGCGGGTCTTTCATGTTGCCTGTTCACTCAGTAGTTTATCATCAGCCATCAGCTCTTAGCTTGCCATCCTCCTTCAAAACCAGTATAGGGAAGCACACCCATTTGCCATTTTATTTATTATCCACAAGTATTGTTATTCACAATTGTGTGTGAGCTGTTATTTTTTGCATTAGCGTTTGGGTATTACCTGATGTGGATCCACGGATTCCCCTGTCTGTCCCACCGCTGTGTGTGGGTTCTATACCCTGACTGACCTCAGGCATAAACGGAGTCTCACCTGTCCATCCAGAGGAGCTCAGGGTGTTTAAACTGGCATTCAAGATGCAGCTGTCACTCTCTGTCTTTGTCTGTAACACATGCTGTAACTCGGCTTCGCTTGGTTTTAAAGAACCGATAAGAGCGAATTCCCTGACAAAACTGCAGTTTGGGTTACTTTTGTTGTATGATTTTTCTAAAATATTTTTTTTCTTCTGCAAGAGAAGACAATAGTTTTGCTCTTTATGTTGGCATATGCCTAATTTTTATAATTGGTGAGACCCCCACCCGGACATATTGCTAGGCAGTTTAGTCACGAGTCTGTGCCATATTATTTAAGTGCCTTTTTCCCCACAAAGACAGGAAGATAACTTTTCTATTTTCTGTGCTTTTTAGAAAACTCTTAGGCTGGTGAGAGCTGATTTGGGCTTTATTGTAGCCCAGTGCATCAGTTCTTTACCTGTGGAATCAGGTGTCTCTGTCCCTCATTGTTTTTATAACTGTACTGCAACGCTGGCAGAAGAAAGAAAAAACTCAGTGACTTATCAGATCCCTTCTTAATGACGACAGCAGCTAAGGAATAAACAAGCACTGATGAATTTAATTAAGTCCGTTTTTTTAGTGAAGGGGCATCCCTCTTCTTTTAGAGAAAAAAGTAGTGCAAATGATACTTCAGAGTAAGTGGCTTTATTTGCTTTTGCACCCTCATCAGTGCTATTATGTATATTCTTTGGTTTGTTTACTTTAACGACGTGATGGAACTTCATACATTAGCATATGTTTCAGGCAGTGTTTGTATGAGTTTTATGTAATGTCCTAGTCTAAGAACAGCAAGTGCAAGTGAGCTATTGTAACATTGCACACTCTCAAATTCAAACACATGAAATGAACCTATTCTTAGGTACATGTAAGTACAGTAACAAACCCAAATGTAGAGTATTTTATTAAGTCCATAGTATTTTGAAGCTTCAAAGCCTTTCAGTCAGCCCTTTCAGCATTTTTATTGCTGTTCAGTAAATGGGAAGATAATCCAGATGCTACTGTAACTGCACATTCCAGATTTTTTTTTTTTACATCGTCCTGCTTGAAGCCTCAAGAACTTTTATGTGCTGTATAACCTAGAGTACCTTTATAGCGGATTCTGCTCCTGATTGGTGTTGTTTTAGCCTGAAAAAACATATAACCTGTTCCACTTGCAGCAAGTCTCATTTTGTGTTCCAGTGAGCAGGGGCAGGGTCCTCACTTGCCAATTTTGGACATTATAGAGTTGTTTTTTTTTATCTGGAGAGGCTTCTGCCGAAGGGGATTATACAGTACCTTGTTTGTTATAATTCGGTGGAAAGTCTTGTTGTACTGGTGATTGCATTTAAATCTGTCAGAGCTGTTTATCGTTTATGTTTGAAAATCTCTCCTTTCCCTGCACCCTCCTGTGCACATATGCTCATCTTTGACAGCTTTTTTCGTGCACCCTGTTTCGAACTCGGATTTAGACAAGTGATAGATGGAACAATCCAGATGGGAGCCCGGGATAATTTTGCACGGGAGAGACTTTTTTTTTTATGGATGTCAAACTCATAATGCTGCTAAAATAGCAGCTGGGTACGAAAAAGCTTTCAACCCATAAAAAATAAGCTTGATTTAGATAGAGTGGCATTGGGTGCCGGCACCTTTAAGACATCATAATTCCTGTTGATCTCCCAGAATAAAATTTCGGGTTGCCAGTCAAGAGCTAAAAAATGAGATCAATTTTAATAGGCCTGTGGTAGGTTTTATGTGTGATTGAATTTGCTTAGAAAATGCAGAAATCTGCTTTTGTCTCGGGCTTTATTCAGAGGCAGATGGCATTCCGGCAAAGCAGAGCCAAGAAAGAGCTGCCCATTGAATGTCTGGCCTGGGGTTCCCTCAGTGGCGATCCAGAGTTTGGCAAGGAAAAAATGGAATGGATTCTGCTACAATCTGTGTCACACATTCACAGCCTTTCAAAGAGTTCTGTGAACCACAATAGATGATTAAAAACCCTCTACTGTATCATGTCATGCTAAGCATTTACTTCTCCTTTTTTTCCCCAGCGCACACACCTGATAACAGCTTTCTTGGGTTTGTTGTGGAGCAGCATCTTAACGCCAGTGATATCAAGCATATTGATGACATCAAAAGACAGAACCAGTCTCTTGTGTATGGAAAAGTAGATAACTTCTGGAAAGTAAGTGCATTTCTCTTTGACTTTGTGAAGTGTACGAGCAGTAAAGTTACCTTTTGTGCATTTTATGTGTAGAATTGCCAAACCGGAGGTTTATCATTTTAGTCTCTATATCATTTTAAATGCGGGGACAGTCAAGCTCTTTTCTTATCAGAGGAATCACTGTAATCATTATTCTCATGATGATCTGCCATAGTTAACAAATTGTTAATGAAAATTGGGGGACAAAAGCAAAGAAAAATGATTTTTCAAGCAATAATAATGTCTGTTTAAGATGATCAAACTTTATAGAAATTTGCTCAGCTGCTGGGCAATCAATTTTGTACAACATTTTCTGCGTGTACAACCGACCACTGTCATAGTCCCTTGGGATTCAAGAATGTGCTGCTCAATTTCAACACCTGAAAAGGACTGTATCCAGCTTGCTGTGGATCCCACTCAAATACTTTGTTTAGTTAATAGTGTAAGGCAATCGACAACAGATCTCTGGTGCAAGGATGAGGTGAAGAAATTAGTTTATTTTTTTCCAGAATTAAGGTAGAGCGATTTTAGCACTTTATTTCACACTCTTGAGGAAAGGGTTTTTTTTTAATTATCATTCTAGCAGTTTTCTGCTAATAATTCAGTGACAGCTTTGGTCCTTGCTTTTGAAGTTTAGCAACGAAAGGCTTCAAGGTGATTAGGGTGAAACGGCTCTTCTTATTTTTTTTAATTTCACTGCTCTTGTGGAGGTGGAAGGTCTGGTGTAATTCAAGAGATAAAGGTACTAAGTCATAGAGTCGCCCTAGAGGAAAACGTATAATTTCAAGGATATTTGCATCAAAATATAATATTGCCACAATGCTGAGTCATGCATGTATTGATCACCATGAAGATATCAGTGAAGTGGAGGCACAGAAGTTACAAAGATCTTCATCAGGTCAGCTAACAGGTTTCTGCATCATATAAACCCTTGTTTTCAAAGTGTGATACCTGTTCATTCTGATACAGTGAAAGATCCCAGCTGCTATCTAGCCTTTCATTTAAAAAGTGAAGCTGTATTTTGTCGTTTGCTCTTAATTCTGTACAAGACAGATATTCGAATAGACTGATAAGCTGTCAGTATGCAGCATATGCATAACGATAAAACAATTCTTGAAGGAATCAAAACATTGATGTCATAGGATTGTTTTCTTCGGGGACTCGGTGCTTCCTGTCTGCTTAAGTGTATTATCTGCAGGAAACTGAATTGGGTTTCAGGTAAGTTTGGAGATAGTTGACCTTATACTGTACTTTGACTTGATTAAGGATTTTCTTTGGATTTAAGGAATGCCTTTTACAAGGTGCCTGAGCTCCTCCCGTGATTTTGCTGAGGTGAAATACATGATTAACTAACCCTGTCCCTGGAAAGATTATCAGAATTTTCTAATATAAAGAAAGAGACAGATTTATGTGCTGTGGGATGTAGACTTAACATTTTCATGAAGGATGTCCTCAGAGATTTTCCAGCTTCTGTTTTCCATTCCTTCTGAAGATTAAAGCTCTCAGGCAGATTGTGTTCAAGGTTCAGGAAGCCTGCATGTAAAATTCATTCAAATCATTGCATTCCCTACAGTGATGCGCTAAAATGCTTTGAAAACTGTGCCCTTACAAGTTATGTTTCAGGAGATGCTTTTTTTAGAACTTTTTAGACTTGCATTTGTAGTTAAAGTTAAACAGCAAGTAGCAGAGTCCAGGAACCTCTGCAGTTAGACCTATACTGTACATTCGCATGCATTGATCCAACTTTCCATTACATTTCCATTGTTATCGTCTGGCAGCGTTTTAAGTATAAATTCAAAGTCAAGGGTTCTGTGTTTCCTAGGTCTTTGAAAGCTGTCCTCGCACAGACCCTTAAAAACACAGTTCAGTTCCTTGATTCATGGAATATGCGTGTTTAAAATGTGCGTTTGAGGACAATAAATGGCAGCGTTACTAACCTGAAGGATTTGTTTTCACTTTCTTGTCCGTTTTGTTGAGTCATATCATTAGGTTAGTTTATTTTATTTCTGTGATCCACAACTGAAGCTGGTTTTAACTGAAGGAGAATGGGTGATATTTTGAAATGAGGATATCAACAGCTATACTTTTTTCAAACCTCCCTGAGGTGAGAAAATCCTTCCTGTATGTAAGCTTGGTTAAATCGGCACTATTCACTATCAGCACTATGATTTCTGAAGGGAGATTTGGGAACAGTTTAGATTTAGACTCATGACCTGGGTGGATTGATGCAGAGCTTATTTTGATGGAACCTTCAAGCAGCAAATTGTGAGCTAACACTGGACTCATGGCAGCAGTCCCCTGACTCCAGTGCAGGATTCGAGAAAGGGGCAAGAGAGGAGCTCTGCAGCTTATCTGTGTAATGTGTGTACAGTACAGTAGCTCTGCTCAGCTCCTGCTGAGATACGAACACGGTCACTCGCAGGTTAGAGCATATATAGAGCCCCTCCTTCCTCTGCAGTAGCAGGAGTCTACAGTACCTGGGTTTCAAGGGGGTGGTGTCAGTCCTGTATCGTGCTCACTCCATTTTAGACCTGTTCCATATGCAAAACCTGGCAAACGGATTTTCTTATGTCAAGGTTTTGGAGGCCATGCATGCATTTTGGTGATAATCCATTCATTGTCCTTCTAGCAGGGAGCTGTTGTTGGCCTGAGGAGTGTGATGCGATAAAGTGAAACCCTTCTCACTGCAGATGCATTTCACATCACAGAGTATTAGGCTGAAGGGGGACTGCTTAGAACGTTATTTAATCCAGTGACAACAGTGTGCAATATAAAATAGTGCATCGTTGCAATAGTACCCCCCAGAGTGAAGGTTTAAAAAAGGGGGCTGTGGTTTTGTCACCTCGGGACGTTTTACCAGATCCGTCTCCTAAAGAATGTCGTTGGCAGGACATGGAGACTAACGACAGTGGCTCGCACCATGTGTAAAACATGGCTGAAGCTTTAGCTTAACATTGGTCAAGCATTGGTCTGTCGGACATCGCAGCTTTCATCTGATTTACAGCACTGTCAACACTTATCATAACGGCACCATCTAGGGACACTAATCAGCAAAAGAAGATTAATTTACCTCATGAGCGACATTCAGTCTAATTATGGGACTGTATCTGCAAATAAATGGACCATCTGTCCTCTTTTTGTTTGGCCTAGATGTTCAGGCACAACGTTAAAATGATTTTTTTTCATATAATCAGCAGACTTTGAGTTTCAGTTTTACAGGCTGAAGGATTGTGACCTGCTAAAATAACCAGTTTTGTAACAAGACCTATAGCTGTATTAGACCTACATTATTATTGGTTATTGTACGGCAGAACTGCTTTCTTATAGAGTATAAACTAAATTCATTTTTAGAAATCATGAAATTTTTTGTTTTATCTCCTAAAGTACATGGCAAAAATACACAAAGAGAACAAAGTAGACTTTCAGGGGGATGTTACTAATTTTCTAAAATGACAAAAAATGGTTTAAAAATAAGAGTTCTGTCCACACCTGTCTTGATTCCATCATCATATGTTCTCGTGTGGATAAGGAACTGAAGTCCCATCTTAATTCTTTCAGCTGCCATTGTTTCGATATGAAGGATGAATGCAGAATGTTTTGTTAAACATGATTTCTCAGATGAGGTGTTCTTCTAAACCTGTCATAGAGAACACCTTTCATGAGGCAACAGGCTTACAGTGCACTTCAGAAATCCAGTCCATCCAGATCCGCTCTTTCCTATGAAACAGAATGACAAAGCTCATCTTGGGGCATCATGGTCAAACAGCTTAAGATCTTAAGTATCTTAACTGGCGTCATATGGTACCGGCATATTAGAAGCTTTTAGGTTAAATGAATCGACTTGCTTGTCTTATAATGTCTGCAACAAAGGCAGTGAATAAAGGTATTGGTAAATGAGTGAAGAGATGCTTTGTTGGATAGTTCAAGGTTAATTATTATACAGCTTGTTCTTTATCCACGATTTAGAGTTTCTCACTGTAGCCTTTAAGGATCTGACAGCAATGTGTGCGTAACGGTGCATTTCGCAGGTTTAATGAGGTCCTCTTATTCCTGCAAACATGGAAACTGTGCCACCCTGTACACCAGCTGCTCGCTGCAGGGAATGACGAAAGGGAGGCCCAGCAGAGAGTTTTGTCTTGCTGATCTGATGCCTTTTGGTCATTCAAAATAAGAGTAGCCTATGATGGAAGAGCTAGACGTGAGATGTGTGAGAGAATAAAAGTGTGGTAGGAGATCAGGCTTATCCTGGAAATATATTTTATTATTCATTGAGGTCCCATTTGGGAGACCCTCCACATCTGGCTGAAATAAGAATAGGAGTATTGGCAGTTCCTTTCATCTTTTAAAAGAAACCTCTGTATGAGGGTTCATAGTAATACTAATATTTGTGGTATCTGTAGGTGGGTAGGGAGGAAGATAATATTGGCAGCTACAGTCTGCCACCTGACTTAAGTAAAAAGCAAGTCTTTATTGGTTTGTATATGTGCAGTTCTTTGTTCTGGGTTTGGTGTTTTTCCTGCTAATTTCACCCCCTGGCTTCTTTCATTTCCATTGAGAGAAGAGAGGATAAGAAACGTACAGGCCTGAGTGCCGGGTCTCAGTTAGTCCCCACTGTGAACATACAAGAGCACCTGGTCCACATCGAGGGGCATCGTCACGCACAGGGGGACAGATTTCCTGCGTGAGCAGCGCCGCTGGAGGAAGGAGGCAGCCAGGATGCCACACGGGCCTTTCCAAGTACCAGTTTCCATGGCGACGATACTGTGCGCCAAACTGGGCTGACCAGACGAAGATGAGAACAGGCTGTGTTTTCGGATGCAGGCAGCCGGCTGGATGTGTTTGTGTGCGAGACCAGGAGACAAATCTCTTACCCTGTGATCACTGCAAGCTTTTCTGTCACACAGGCTGCCCTTTGAGATGGTAATTCGTGTTGCTGGCCGACAAGTGAGCTATTTTCAAAACCGCGGTTGTGTGATCTGTGC